TAACTCGTGGGCTTCGGGTTCACCTGTCGAGGGGCCTTTTGCTCTTGTTCCTGCTGGAAAGCGCTTGTGTGCAAAGGCTGTCGCGAGCCGCTTCCTAGTAGAAGCGGACAAAAAGGGTTATTAAACACGTACGGCCTTGAAATGGTGAGCTGAGCGCCATCACGATGTAGGCGAAGCCTCCACCTCGGCTCCCCGAGCCCTGTGGTGCGCAGCCGGCGTCGCACGGAGAGCAGCAGGTCGCGGGAGCTGTCGGGCTGCGCGTGGTTAACGCGGAATGATAGTTGTTCCGTGTGCTCGGGATGGGAATATCGCGTGAGTCCATGTCTCCGTCCTCATGTCTTAGCTGTGGGGTTGCAGAATCTATCTTAAACTCATAAAACTGGTCAAATTTCATAGCAGGGAACTCTTTTAGTGCTGCTTTCGTGCCTACACTCGGCGTGATTACACAAGAACCGTGTCCCTCTTCATTTGTAATAAGCTTTTTGTTGCTCTGCCTGAAATAATAGAAAGGAGAGGGAGGAGCGTAACAGTTTTCCAACATACAGTCGTTTCTGTCTGCTTTGCTTTTTTAGGTGGAATTACTTTTTCCTTTATGATGGTTCGAAGGTTAAGGAAGAAGGAGATCCTACGAGTGCCGGGATTTGTTATTTTTATCCTTCTCAGGTAATGTCTGGTTTTATTTTGGTGCCTGTCGAGGGTTGGCGCTGATAATTCTGGTTCAGGAATGGTCAGAGGAGCTTTGGATTAATTCTTATTTAGTATTCACCAAAGTTTTAAGAAAACTTGTGCAACCAGAACCAGCTAGGGTGGTGCTCCCCCAGCCTCGGTGCACAGAAGTCCTTGGGCTTCCGAGGCCGGGCACGGTGGTGTTGCACTCTGCTCCCTCACCATGGACTCTGGTCGGTGGAGTCCTCCAGCAGAGTCAGGTCTCTTCTGGTGGTGTGAATAAACACACACGAGGAAAGAAAGTGCCCTTAAATGAGCTCCAGGCCCTTGTGCTGCCTGAAAAAAACAGTCCAATTATTTTTTCCCCAGAAATTTGCCTGTGCTGCTGCATTTGATTTATAATTGAATTGAACTTATTCATTTTTATCTGTACCTGAATACAGTAGTGATTTTTTTTTCCCAAGTCCTTTTAAAAGGGAAAGAAAAGAACAAGATCCTTATTCCCTGTCTTCCTCGACAGACTCTCCCCGACCAGCAGGAACTGCTGTGTGGACAGATTGCCGGCGTGGTGCACTGCATGACTGAGATTTCTGGAGTTCCTCCAAGTCTCATTCGCCTGAGGAAGCTCAAGTTTGCGGTCGTAGTGGATGGAGAGTATCTGTGGGTGAGTTCAGGAGATCTGGAGGCAGTCACAGGGCTGAAACTGTGAGAGTCTGAACTACTGTATCAAACAAAGAGGGCTTTCTTTTTATTTTAAAGAGTATGGGCTGCACACAGATAGACGTGGGGAGAGCGAGGGTGGGAACCTGCAATGCACAACTTTTCATTGCAAGAGAACTTAAATTTTGTTTACCATGGCCTACAAGCATGAGTCGTGGCAGGCGTCTCAGTTGTGGGAAACGCTTCCCGTACCTCGTTTGTGCATCCGCACCCAGCGTGCGTGGCACTGGCTGTAAAAGGTTGAGCTCTGCATCAGCGTGTGAATCCGTGGGTTACTGGCCATGACTGGAAACAGGATTCCGTGTGCTGCTGTTTAGAATAAGGGCTCAGTCTCCCTGTTTGGTAGCCTGACCGTTCTTTCCTTCTAACCCTCAGCATTCCCTGCTGCAGAGCTTTGTCAGAGTCAACAGGCATTTAGTATGTGAAGAGCAGCGTGTGGCAGAGTCGTGAGAGAAACGCCCAAACCAGTCCCTGGGAACTGGGCTGAGACCTGTCAGACCTATTTAATTGGCAGTGCTGGTCAGGCTCATGGGGGACTCTCTGAGGCAGAAAGCCTGTAGCTTCTGTTTCTCTTGGCCACTCAGAAACTAAGTGAAGCGTGTTCATCGCTGTAAATAACAAGTTAATTTGAATATTTTTAAGTACTTAGTTTCAGGAAGATGTTCTCAGCTATTAGAGCGCTGAGCTAGGTCATCTAATGTGGGAAGGGAGTGTGTCTAAAACACTGGATTTGTGATACCATTTATTTATCCCATCTGTGCCAGGGCTCTTCTGTGGGTATTTTTGAATTTCCTTTTCATCCGACTTGTGAATCCGGGCGATGTTTGCCTGCCACAGAACTGCCTGCTCACCTTTGATACTCATGTGAAAGCGCTGAGAGATGTTCTGCTGTGCCTGGGTTTTGTCGGTAAACGTTCTTCATTCATGGCTCTCTGCATTAAAGGTTCTGGGCTGTGCCGTTGAGCTCCCTGATGTCAGCTGTAGGCGGTTTCTGGAGCAGCTGATCAGCCTCTTCACCTTCTACAACGGACCTGTGCACCGTGCGTACGTGGTGAGTAACGATCAGGACCCTTCATGCTTCTGCCTCGGACGAGGCCTTAAACACTTGGCGTGTGGCCGAGCTCTCCCCGGGCACATACGTTCCCTTAGGTTGTCTTCCTGCTAGCAGGAGCCAGAGCAAGCTCACCTATCGAAGAATTGGGACCTGGAAAAGCGTTCAGGCCCGTCTTCCTATTGCACCCAGGGCGTCTACTGAAAGTTTCCTTCATGATCAGTCTAAATCAGTTTCCTGTTGATATCACCTTCCTCCTTATCCTCACGAGATTTGTCCCTTACAGGTGACAGATGTGACCATCCCGAAGGCGTTCAGGCCCGTGCAGTGACAGCTGTATGCGTTTCTGTTGCCCGCAGGCATTTTCTCAGGAGGAGCTGAGCAGGCAGTGGGACAGATACATTGAACATATCCTAAAAAACACCAGTGACCTCCATAGGATTTTCAATTCTCTCTGGAATCTGGACAAAACCAAGGTAAAAGCCTGTCCCCTGCAGCGTCTGGCTCTCGAGCTGCCTTAGTGCCAATGCTTTTGTGTTCATTTGCTGCTTTGAGCATTTTGTGGGATTCTCTGGCCTAACTTCTTGTGGTTCTCCTTGTCTAGGTGGACCCCCTGCTTTTACTGAAAGCAGCTCTCATCTTGCAGACTTGCCAGCGGTCTCCTCACGTCTTGGCAGGCTGCATTCTCTACAAGGGCTTGTAAGTAACCAGGCACTGCCCACAGGGTGAACCTGCACGTGGGATCTGCCCCTTCCCAGGGCGGTGGTCCCGGGGTGCATCCAGGGAGCAGAGCGAGGGCACTACCTGCACACACGGGGCTGCTGTTTGTTGTTGACAGGAGAGTGAAGGCTTCAGGCAAGGTGATCCCTGTCTGCTGGGGTATTTCAAAGAGGATAAATGGTTATTTGTGTTTAGCAGTAGGAGAAATAAAGGCATCAAGAAATTCAAGGTTTGGGTTTTAGTAGTAAACTGCCATCTTTGATATTCAGCGGGACGTGAAGACTGAACTTCTTGGGCTTTTTAGGTGGAAGTCACCAAGAAAAAGAAAGATGAGTGAATATTATTCTTTCCCCTTAACACTCTCTTTGCAGTCTTGCAAGCACAGTACACGTTGTGTCTGTCCCTGTGTTTTTGACTGACTCGTTGGGCAGGACCACTGTCTGTACTGGTAGAACGCGCGCAGAAGAATGAGCCAGGATTTCCCATGAGGAATGCTGGCTTCTTTCCACTGAACATTAATCGTAGCTGAAGATGCTGCAGCATCAAGGAAAGCCTCAAAGGTGGCCTTGAAAGACAGGAGGTGGGGGATTCTGAGAATTTCTTGGCAATAACATCCAAGCACCTTTTTTCTTTGGTGTAGACTGTTCCTCTAACACCTTTTATGAGCACTGGAAATACACCACGGTGTCTGCATCTCTCCAGGGCTGACAGAGGCAGCCCAGGCATTTTTAAGGGAACGATCTCACGCTTGCAAGCAGGACGCTGAGCATGAGTCACTGCAGCACCGTAAAGCTGGATTGTTGCAGTGGAAGTGAACGTCTGCCCTGGGAAGGGAGTCTTGTCCTGCGCCTGCCCATCACCAGTGTGTGGCTCATCATATCGCTGGTCTGCCTGCTAGAGATTTTTTTTCACCAAATGTTCTCTGAATCTTACTACAGCACTACAAAGAGCTTTGTGCTCAAGTTAAACTTCTTCTTTAGAGTCTTTTGGAGAATCTCCAGAATGTGGATCTCAACAAGATGTAAACAAAAAGACTGAGAATACTTTTGAAAGCCCTGTCCAAGGGGCCTGTGCTGCAGGACTTTGTGTGCCAGTCTTCCTCAATTTTCTCCACTGCCCACAGCTCTTCATGAGGTGGCAGGAAGCCTGTATGGATTGGTCTGTCTTAGACTGTCTTGACTGTCTGTCTTGTTTGTCTTGACTCAGCAAAACCAGATTTGTTGGCCAAAAGTAAATGCCAGCAGGTGGTTTTCATGAGTTTAGAGTGGAACTCACCCAAAGAAAAGAAGAAAACGAGAGTCCTGACCGTCACTCACCGTGTGTTCCTGTCGCGTGGGGATGTGTTAGCTCCAGCCATGTCTGGGGCTGGCCCTTCAGCCCTTGCAGAGTGTCTGGCAGGACTGGGAGAGGTGGAACCTTAGAGACTCCCCCAGAGATTCCCAGCTGTGAGATGGGGCCCTGCAGCACCATCAGTTTTGCTCAGCGTGGTGGGAGCAGTGCTGCTGGCTCTGCCTCTGCCTGTCCTGGTGCGCGGAGCGGCAGGGGTCTGCAGCGGAGCTCCGGGAAACGACACTGGCCTCATGGATGACTTTGTTTTGTCCTTTTAGGATTGTGAGCACCCAGCTGCCACCTCCTCTCACTGCCAAAGTTCTCCTGCAAGGCAGCGAGTCTCCAGGCCAGGTATGTTGCTGAACACGTTCTCTGCATGCAGATACCCGCTTGTAAGGATGCGGCGTGGGAGCTCGTGTCACGTAGATCTTACACGTGGCATTACTGGGAAGGACAAATGCTGGTGCTAGCAGCTTTCATTAGTTATGGCTGAATACAATTTCAAGACTTCTGCACTGGGAATTTGCCTTTTTTTCAGTCTTTAAGTTACTGAATTCATGAATTCTCATCTGTGTGATATTTTGATTAGCTTTTTACCCAAGTTTAGGTATCTAGTGCTAAATATACAAAATAAGTGTCTGCAAGTGACAAATAGGTCAATTTTTGTTGCCATTACAACTTGTCAAAAGTAATTATTTATGTGGTTGAAGCTCTACTGCAAAAAGACATCAAGATCCAGATACAAAGAAGGCCTCTGGTTGAACGAACCAAGTTTTTGTGCCCTGAGCAGGCAATAATGGCAAATCGTAGTATTTGTCCTTGCTTTCAGGTGTAGTTTGGTTCTTGAGAAGTCCCCTTGACTTTGAGGGCTACTTGAGGAGCAAATCGTTGCCCAGCATGGTAAACCAGTCACAGCATTTGCTGAAGGGGATGGTCTGGGGTCTGCTGTAGCCACAGGGAGGCTGAGGAGGCTGAAGGAGATGTCCTGGTGGCACTGGTGGCAAGTGTCGAGTCATGCCACAGAGCTGATTCTTGGCTTTTCTTTCAGAGTGAGCCTGGAGGTGAGGAGCAGCGGGAGCCTGGTGAGCATCCAGCTGCAGAGTACTGGTTGCCAAGTGCACAGCAGCAGCATATGGGCGACCCTCTGGGGTTGCGTTCTCTGCCGTGAGAGCATGAGCTGGTTCTCCAGGATTCAAGTCAAGGCTCTTGCTGGATGCAGGAGTATATCCCTGAGGGTGTTGCTGCCACTAGTCAGCATGTGCCAGTGGGTGTTGTGTAATCGGAACTAGTTCCTTCCTTTGGCTAAGCAAAGGAGTTTGCTCTTTTGGGTTTAATTGTCAGTTCTGCAGATTCCCAACATGCCTGCTTTAATTCCAGTTACCCATGTGCCTACTTGGCCACTGACAAAGCCCCGAAAACAGATGGCTGACGCTTTCAGTCCAACCTTCAGTCGTCATTTTTGAGCATCAGTTTGCAGATATTCTGCCAGGAGAGTCAGAAAAAAAAACACTACAGGAAAATTTAACTGTGTCAGGCATTAAGTGTATGAGGAGGATGGGAAAATGCTGCCTAGTCAGACGTGGTGCATTTGTGGTGACCCAGGGAGGGGATGATAGCGTGCCTTCTCCTCCTGCGGCAGCCTTTGGCTGATGGAGTTTGGCTTCTGTTCTTTGTGCTGGGGCATATTAATTGAATCCTCAAACCTCCATTGCTCTTGCAGATTCTCCGTGGCCGCAGGGTGTCCGTATCATCCCGGTATTCCTAACAGAAGGTGAAGTCTCAGTGCTCCGAGACTTCCCAGTGGAGTGGATGACGAGGTAAGAAATCAATCTGACACGCAGAGAGGCTTTTGCAGCAAGGGAGCTAACCTGTGGCACCGTGTCCTCGCTGGCTGTTGTTACTGGTTTCTCTGATGCCATCTGGCTGTTAAAGCTGCCTGAGGTCTTTCAGGCCGGGCAGAATTTGTGGTGGCCCTATCTCTGTTGTGAAGCAGCCTAAAGCAGAACTGTTTCTCAAGACCGACTGCGATCTTCTGTTGTTTCTCAGCTCGCAGTGCTGCCTTTGTGCTTTGTAATTAAGGGAGTGACATTCCCAGGAGTCTGCAGTGTAAGAAGCCCACGCTTTCCACCTGTGGTAGACCTTAGCCCATCCTTTTACGAGGTAGATGCTCTTTGTAGCAGAGAATAGATCAGCTATTGAACACTACCACGAGGTGATAGTGTTCTTAGGTATATAATAACTCCAAACAGATTCTACTCAGTAGTTTAATCAACTTGTCATCTCCTGCTAGGTCATCCGTGTCCCCAGCAAGCCCTAGAGGAGAGAAGAATGCTCTCAGCTCCCAGGTGGTTTCAGAATCAACAGGACACCTGAATAATATCTCTGTGCAGGAGTCCCCTGAGCAAGCTTCAAGCACAGCTGCACCAGAAGACGCCGTGCAATCAGGCAGCGTTGCAAGTGCAGGTCCTTTGAAGGGCTTCCCTGAAATGGAAGGGAGCACAAAGAATTCTCCAACTGCAGAACTGAGCAGCCCAGACAGCAAAAGCTCTGAGGTCAGTAGAAAAGCATCCTTCCCATCAGAGAGAGACACCAAACAGCTCCCAAGCCCTTCCAGTCTCCGTACTGCTGAATATACTCAAGCTACAGGTCCATATCTGGAAGACTTTTCCTTTCCAAACCCTAATACTCGGGAGCAGGAGAGTCAGAACATGGGGAAATCCCTTGTGGACTCGGATGTTGAGCAACGTGGTTTCCAAAGTTATCATGCAGCCGGTGGCAGTCCTGCTATTTGCTCTCCTGCCCAAGATTTGAGCGAAAGGAAGTTGAGTGAACAAGATGAGCAAGAGACTCTGAGCCAAAATAATGTCTCTGGAGACAGCAGCGGTGCAGCTGGTGGCAACGTGTGGGGTTCGGATTGTCCGGGCACTGCTGTGCAATCGGAGCTCCAAAGCGGGAGCCAGCTGCCGGCTGTGGGTGTTCAGGAGAGCCTGCCCCGTGACCCAGCAGAGAACACACGCTGTCCCAGGAGCAGGGAGGGCGGCTGGCCACCTCGGGAGGATGGTCTGGGAGCCCAGACTGGCATGGAGTCAGGCAAACAGTGCAAACCAGTTAAGATGAGCTTGTACGTTCACTGCATTAAGGGGCTCGTGCTCTCGCTGCTGGCCGAAGAGCACCTTGGGGAGGACCGGAGCTCCGTTGAAGATGTGGTAAGTGGGAAAGCTCTTGCACACCCGCAGATACACTCACTGCTGCTTGTCTGGTGGTGGGGACGGGGGTTGCGACTGAAGAGCGAGCGTTGGATCGCATCTTCCCATCTCTTTCCTCACCCGCTCTGCGTGGTGCAAGGCAAAGCCGTTTGGCTTAGGGTTCGTCACCGCAAGCGGAGCGACGTGGGAGGTTGTTGCCAACGTCAGGCAGCGAGCCCGAGAGGTGAGAGCGCTGTCTCACAGGCGACTCCTGTTGCCTGTTGTTGTCTGTCGGTGCCAGCACCGGAGCAGAACGTGTAGGTGTGACCGTCAGACAGCCTCGCGGGCTGCCAAAGGCCTCTGCTGGATTTGGGATGTGTTGGGAAACCTCGTCAGATTGGTAGTGCTTTTTGGAAAGCAAGGTTTGTTCTCTGTTTAACCTCCACTTCGCATGTCACAGCTTCTCTGGAAGCACCGGAGAGACGTGTCTGGCAGCAGGTCCCCAAAGTGTTTCCTTTCGACGTGGAAGTCTGGCTGGCTGCGTCCCCAGCCTGCTCCTCCCTGGTGCTGCTCTCGGGAGGCCGGAGCGAAGGGGGCCGTTTGGGCACTCCAGACAGGTGCTGTACCAGAGCAATCCCAAACCACTCTGCTGCGGGACGTGCTTGGGTGCACAGGTTTCCCTGCCAGCGTCGCGGTGCAGCTAAGGAGGCTGCGGGGGAAGGACACGCCAGCCCCCGGCGCTTCCCGGGAAGCGTTACTCTGCGGAGCTGCTGCCTGGCCTCTGCCTCCCTGCCAGCGAGCTGAGTCAAAGCTGCAGAGGCCTGTTTGAGATGCCAGTTGCCATAGGAACAACCTAATTTCTTTAACCAGTCAGACTGGAAGGTGGAGGGAAGCTCAGGCTAACGCTGGCTCCCAGCATTAACAGAGCCTCAAGGTTACTCCTTTTCCTTCCAAGCTCTGGACTGGGAGGCTGTGCCCGTCACCCTTCCCTTAAGCAGAGGGATGCCACCTCCGCACGGCACAGGAGGGCTGGCATGCCCAGGAAGGGATTGCTGCAAAATCAGCAGATGCCAGGAGGTGCAGCCTTGGCCATTTGCACTGGACATGGCAAATTGCTGTCCCCTTTCTGCTCGTTTCCAGCAGGCAGCTGCATAACACCTCCCGCTCGCCGTGTCTTCTCTGGTTGTGGGGAGAGAGGGGGATGCAGGCGGGTGGGGACTGATGCTCTCGAGAGCTGAAAGTCATCCCTGTTGCACAGGTACCCTCGGCTTCTCGGGGTTTCCTCCGGTTGCAGCTCTGCTCTGCTGGGAGGCAGCGCGGTTCCCCACAGCCCGTGCGGCATTTTAACCAGCCTCTGCTCCGCGCCACGTCCGACCTGCCGCCAGAAGGAGCGTCGGAAGGATGTAGCTGGCGTGTGCGATGCCTCGTTGGGGGGTCAGCTCTGCCTGTCCTCCTCCCCCTGGCAGCGGGCCCAGCCGGGCTCAGTTTGTCGTTCGGTTCTTTAAGTCTCAAAATCAACTGCCCGACACTGGCGCTCCACATTTCAGTCCATTTTTCCTTTATCTGTTGCCCCAAGGCAGACAAAGTCCTGGTCCGTTCAGGTTCCCCTTTTCCCAAACCTGCTGCTTTCATCTCACGTACTCTTGCTTTGGATCTCATCTTGGCAAGCCTGTACTTCCACACAGCTTGGAGTTTGACTGTGATGGAGTTCTTCTGCCCACACCCTCCCTCCGGGCACAGGTGTTTGTTATCTCTGAGAAAAGAGGCACCACGTGTCCCGTCATCCCAGGAGGAAGAGTATTGCTGGAGGAGGCAGAGCTGTGCTCTGCTGCTGGCGTCACGGCGGATTTGAGGCGTAACCTCAGCTTGTCTGTTCCTTTGTTTATCTGTAGATTAAAAATGACCCTCAGCTCTCGGGGTTGTCAAAGCTTAGTTATAATTAATGTTTGTCGAATGCTTTGAGGCCCCCGAATGACACCAAAGAAGGGTAAAATATGCTCCTTGTGCAGCTGAGAGCAGCAGGCAGCACTGATCACCCTTCTGGGGAGATGGTTTCCAGTACAGGCTCTCCCGGCAGAGCAGGAGGCTTTGGAGAGGCTCTCAGGCTCCCTTCCTGCCACGCTTTAGCTCTTACCCCTTCATTTCTCTGCACTGAAAACAAAATCTGTTCCATGAGCAGGGGGGTCAAGGGTAGGCCAGGCACTGCCATCCTGCCAAGTGGAGGCTTGATCCCCTCCGTGGCAGAGGAAAGCACACGGGCAGGCTGGAGGATTACGGAATTAATCTTCCCAGCGGTGCCAGCGGGCCCCTCGGTCCTGCCTGCACCCTGCCTGCTGCCAGGAAAGCTGCGTGGCTTTCACGTTAGCACGTTACCTGGTGTTACCCCACAGGTGAGGCTATTTCCTTGGCTTTTCTTCTTTTTTTTTTTTTCCCCCCCTTCTGGTGGTGGCCCAGTGCCTGCGGTCTGCAGCTGGCCAGGAGCTTGGAGCGGAGGCTGGGTGCCTGGTGGAAGGTTTGCTTGTGCGTTGAGAGGGTGCTGCAGTTAAATCCCGCCCAAGGATGTAAAGCTGCATCTGGTGTTGTGGTCTTTCTGGTGG